ATACAGGATAGCTCCTTCAGTGTAGTAAACACTGGTATCAACAGGGGTCCTGTTACCCACCCATCCCACCCCAGGGGAGGACATCCATCACACTAATCTCATGCGTGGGAAATTAACATCTCCTACCCCTAATCCTGCAGGAGACGGGACCTCCATTTATTCATCCCTATCCAAGAAGACTAGAATATCTAATCATTTCTTGATGTTATAGAAAGGTAGCATATTCTTCTCAATTATTTTAAGACCCTGAGTGTTGGTCTGGCTGGGGCTCGAACCCTCGACCTCTCGCACAACAGTCCAGCGCTCTATCCATTGAGCTAACTGGGAGGCGGTTAACTACAGTTTCTTTAGAAACTAACCCCTATAATTCGTTATGTATAGTAAGACTTGAAATCTATGGGAAATAAGAACAACACAAGCATATTGTTCACCTGAGGTGAAATGTTAATGCCTTGTGCATAAACTTTTATGGGCAAAAAGAATTTAACGTATATAACATGTAACTGAGGTAATTGACTAAATGTTTCAAACGGGAATATATTTATCAACACATAATTCTTATTGATGTAGATACAGATGCACTCTTTGGTCAATTTTTCTGTCTGAACATCCAGCAGCTATTCAGTGTGTATGTTTATGTTGGATGTCAGATTTAAACTCCACTAATGCTTTGCTGAGTGTAAAGTTTTAGATGTGTGTGATCCCGCATAATTCAAATTGTGAGTATCTTCTGATGGTTGCGAGTGAAATTTCACTTTTGCTTGGCATCCCAGGGAGAGGCTGTTATGACTTTATTAAGTGTTGTGTTATTGTGTTGTTTGAACCAAGTTCCAAGGAATCTGGCTCTGCTCATCTTGAGGATCCAAGGATCTTTGCTCAGCTTCAATGCTCAAGCAGAAACTGGTGTATAGTAAATTATCACAAGTAACCAGAGATAATTATGCTTTAAGGTTATGGATTTATTATCAAAGTCTGTATTTTATCGGTGACCATTTCTTGCAGATATGTTTTTGATGGCAAGCCTCCTATTATGAAATCCGGGGAGGTAAGTGTTGTAACATGTCAACCTTAAGTAAGAGTGATCATTGTTCTTCTAAATGGATTCTACAATGTTTTTTTCTGAATTAGCTGTCAGTGAATTAATGGAGGTCTGTAACCCAAGCCTATCAGTCAACTCAGTCAGAGTTTATCTTGGTTTCCTTAGCATTGATTGAATAAGAACATTACTGCCCCTCCCCTCCCCTAGATGGGACACATGTCCATCACAAGGCTGCCCCTTCCCTTCCCCTCACCCCTGCATTACATCACATGGAAATTTTGAAAAACCTTTACTACAAAATTTTGATGCTTTGGTTTTAGCCATGCGTGTGGAAATTATTTTCCACAGTTTGATACATAATATTCATTGGTATTGTAAATAAGTAATTTGTAATGAAACAGATAAGTCACAAACACTCAAAAGTAGGTAAAGTAGTTGTAATTTCCATCATTAACACAGTTGGCAAAGAGAAAAGAAAAGAGAGAGGAGGCACAAAAAGGACTTGCTCAAGCAGAGGAAACTGGTTGGTGTTGTCACTGTCTTTAATTAAACAAATATTTTTTCCTGACTGTGCATTCCTCAGTTTTTTGTTTGCAGCCATAACTAGTATGTACCTCGCAACTTCTGAACTATAAAGGATATTACATTTGAATGATTTCTGTAACTTTTCATATAATTTTAAAATCTCTTGGTTGGTTGGTTTTGTTTTTTCTTTTAATGAAGAAAACTTGTTGAAAGTAAACAAACTTTTTGATAGTAAAATAAAGCCCTTTTTCCCATCTTCCATATCCTGTTTTTCATTTATCAACAGGTGATGCTGAAAGCATGGAAAAATTTTCTCGAAGACTTGTAAGGGTTTTTTTGATGTGGTTTATTAAAATAAGAGAAATTTAAAGTCGCATTTGCAAGCTGCCTGATAAGGTCATTTTGCCTGCTGAATTTGAAACCCTAGCATCATTAATTTTGGAAAAAGGGTTTAATTGCTCACTGATAGTGGATCATAGGCAAAACTTTTAAGAATTGACTGATTGCCACATGTCAAAGGTACCTATTTGGCAAAAAATTGCTAACATGAAAGGACTCAGCTATAGATAAAAATGAAAATTGAAATTTCCTAAATTTTCAAAAACAAAGATAAAGTATATATTGAAAAAGGCCTTGGAGTTTTTCATTTTCAGAAATTCCTTTTGGCATTATTTGTTATAAATCTCTTGGTCTATATATTTGAGTTTTTCAGAATTTCAGAGAACCTCATTGAGAAAGCTATGATTAAAACACTTTTAACCTGTTTCACAATTCCCGGCATTTTTTTTTTTTTTAGCTGATTTCAAGGAAGTAACTTAATTACTCTTTGCATTAGGTGAAAGTGACCCCACAGCACAATGATGAATGTAAAAGATTACTTAAACTGATGGGAATTCCATACATTGAGGTGTGTTTGTATAAGCAAGGCTATAATATGTAATACCTCATAAGCATTTTAAGATAACTATCAAGGTATATAATGGTGGGTGGATTAACAAAATTGAAACTGCACTTTTATGCAGCTATTCGAAAGAAAAATCTCACATGTACATTTACTAGGAAAGCTGGATTATAGAACACAGTGATATCTCATTGCTCCACTAATGACATGAAAAGGAACTAAAATCACTTTTTTTCCCCACGGTATTTTGCGTCAGGCACAAATAATTACCAGAGCAGAGTTGCTAAAATAAAAAGTTTTTCTCTCCCTCATTAGTTCCTGGAAAAATGTTTCAGATGTTTTACAATTTGTGGCTTTGTTTTAAACATTGTTCAAGTCAACGATAACTTACCTTTCTGTTAGGCTCCCTGTGAAGCAGAAGCACAATGTGCTGCATTGGTGAAATCAGGAAAGGTATGTTATTTAAAAAAATGCAGATATGATTGTAGAGGTTTTATGCTGATTTTTAGACAAAGTGTTAAAGTTGTTGTGTTTATAGGTTTATGCTACAGGAACGGAAGACATGGATGCTCTCACATTCGGGTCAAGTGTCCTACTGAGACATCTCACTTTTAGCGAAGCAAGGTCTGTTAAGTTTTAAGTTATCAACTAAATTTTCAAATGAACGATGAAATTTTGACAGTGCACGCTCTTTGTAATTTATACTTGTGTAACAACTTTGTACTTGTGTCATAACACTTGTGTTACATGAAAATAATTGTGTTCAGCCAATCAGATGCACATCACTTTCATGTTAATTATCAATAATACTTATCTGCTCATTATACAGGAAAATGCCAATAAGGGAATTTTATTTGGACCGCATACTCACAGAGCTAGAACTTTCCCATTATGAGGTAAGCATTTCATGTACAGGACTTGGTGAAGCCTGCCCCCTTTTGTCTGGAATTAAGCTTGGACATTGCCTTTTTTTTCTGCATCACAAGAAATTAAAATATAGATGACTCTACCATATTTTTTTATGTTTATGTTGTGCATCAATTTTCTTAATTTTTAATTTTCATTTTCCTCTGTCATGCATTTTGAAGCATGGTGTATTAAATGAGATGTCCAAATCACAGTGTTACAGCATGCACTACAAAGCCCCAAAGCCTTTTTTATTCACATTTGGTCAATTTTCAAGCATCAGAATCACAGATAACTTCTTGTATTTTCTTTAAAGTTTGTGGAATTTTTATTATAAATCTTTGGTAATTGTGAAGAACAACTCCCTGAATTTGCAGATTTTAATTTATGTTGACAAAGTTTAATATTAAACAACAACAAACATATGAAACATATGTGTGAAAAAAAGTTTAATATTGAAAAGGACATGATTATACATTACTGATAAAATTGAAAACAGGTGGTAAATTATTTTTAATTTCAGTCCCAATGGCTTCATCCAACGTCTGGTGCTCCACTTCTGCCCAGAAATGCACTTAGTAACAAAAATAGCAGGTTCAAGAAAATTTTGTCAGACAGAGTGAATGTTCATGGATTTGACAATTTTTGCAAATATTAGTTACAAGTGAATATTAGTTGAAGTGAAATCAGCTCAGCAGAATTGACAATTGTGATGAGTTAATCAAAATGAAATCGGCTCAGCAGATTTAATGATTTTTATGAATTTTCACCACTTTCACTACTGCATGCATTTCTGGACATACCTTGGTGCAGTGGTACCTGAGTACCTTTTGACTGTCTGTGCAGCTTGTTAGAATTATTTAGGGAGCCACGTTTCATATCTTTCTCTTTAGTTTGCTCATGTTGCATAATCTTTCTCTTTAGTTTGCTCATGTTGCATAATCTTTTTCTGTTTTACAGTTTATTGATCTTTGTATTCTATTGGGATGTGACTACTGTGACTCCATCAAAGGTATGTTTTTTTGGGTCTGCAAAATCTGTGAGCCATGTGAGTCACAAGCGCCATGCAAGTCACGTGAGCCATTTTTTCGAGTATTTTTTTTTCTTTGATTGGTCCAAGGTCTGGGAGGTTGTCGATCATTTCTCACCTGACTATCACCAAACTACTATCGTTATAAACCATCTGGTATATACTTCATGGAAGGCAGCCAT